GAAGGTGAAGGTGCCCGCGGCGTACAAGTCGTTCGGCAGCAGCATACGGGACGTGGAGTGGCGGGCCATCCGCCTGGGCCAGCTGCGTGAGCTCGCGGCCTTGGTCCAGCAGGTGTTGCGTCGGGCGCGCCCCTCTACAGGAGGAACTATCCAGAAATACTAAAAAATAATATGGGGACGTTTTTTTTTAACTGTTTTAAGATATTTGTTTGATTTCTTTTTGGATATTTGTTGTTTATATCTTTTGGTCCAAAATCCTCCTGTAAAGGGACACGCCCGACTCAAAGCAGGTGGTCACACGGACGGAGATCACCGACTCCTTCAACGGCAACGCCCGCGTCACGTGGGACAGCGCCAATATGTACCACATAGATGGGCACATAGCGAGGAACAACAAGCGGTCTAACCATAAGCTGTCGGAGGTCCGCGCGGTTCTCTTGGACGGGCGCTGGACCCCCTCCCCTGGTGCGTTCCGCGCGCCGGGTCGCCAGGGGGTTCCAGCGCCCATCCGAAATATCCGCGCGGACCTCCGAACGTTTGTGCTTACACAGCGTGATGCCCCTCGAGCATCACGCGGCCTCTCACGCAGCACTTCAAGTGCTCCTTCGTGGAGCTGATCGCGAAGGAGGGCGAGCAGCGGCCCAAGTGGTTCGTCAGCCACTGGTGGGGCACCCCCTTCCAGCAGACTGTGGCGCTCCTGGGTTTCCACGCTGAGCAGCGCAAGATCCAGGCGCTTAAAAAGCACAGAAATATATTCATCGTCGACTCCCAAGGAAATATTGAAAACTATGGGAAGTGGGGGGGAAGACGAAAACCCAGAAGATCGGAGGTTGGGGGGTGAGATCGCAGTGGAACGGAGACCCCCAACCGGGGAATCGTTTTGTTTCGTTCGTGTCGTGCGGGCGGGCGAGGCGAAGCTGCGTGGGCGCGCGAGAGGAATGAACCCGCCGCTGCTAGGGCGAAGTCAAGACAAATGATTCTCCCCCGCCCGCCCGTCCGTCGGTGGCTCGCGGTGTCCCGCGGTGTCCCGTGGTGTCCCGTGGTGTCCGCCGCTGCTAAGGCGAAGTCCAGACAAATGATTCTCCCCCGCCCGCCCGTCCGGCGGTGGCTCGCGGTGTCCGGCGGTGTCCCGTGGTGTCCCGTGGTGTCCGCCGTTGCTAGGGCGAAGTCCAGACAAATGATTCTGCCCCGCCCGCCCGTCCGTCCGTCCGGCGGTCGCTCGCGGTGTCCTGTGGTGTCCCGTGGTGTCCCGTGGTGTCCCGTGGTGTCCCGTTGAGTGAGATCGATACTGAAATCGATACGTACTGAGATCGATGTGGTGCCCCGAGGTGTCCCGTGGTGTCCCGTGGTGTCCCAAAAAGTGAGAACGATAGTGAGATCGATAGTGAGATCGATGTGGTGCCCCGAGGTGTCCCGTGGTGTCCCAAAAAGTGAGATCGATAGTGAGATCGATAGTGAGATCGATGTGGTGCCCCGAGGTGTCCCGTGGTGTCCCAAAAAGTGAGATCGATAGTGAGATCGATGTGGTGCCCCGAGGTGTCCCGTGGTGTCCCGTGGTGTCCTATTGTGTCCCGTTGAGTGAGGTCGATAATTAGATTGATAGTGAGACCGATAGTCAGATCGAGAGGTGTCCCGCGGTGTCCCGTGGTGTCCCGTGGTGGCCCATGATGTCCCGTGGTGGCTCGTTGAGAGAGATCGATCGTGATATCGATAGTGAGATCGACAATTGTGCCGTGGTGTGCCGTGGTGCCCCGTAGTGTCCCGTGGAGACCCGTTGAGTGAGATCGATAGTGAGGTCGATTGAGTCAGATGTTGGTTCCCCCCCCTCTCCCCCATCCCTCCACAATCTCCTTGTCACCCGAAGGGTGGCAGTATAGGTATGGGACAAAAATGTGAGTCCTGGGACTTGAAGCTGTTTACTTGTGTGTCCCAGGGCCCCTTTGAAGGCGCCCTCGGACGCGGCGTACTGGATATGCACCTTCGCCAACTGCCAGCACGACCTCTCGGGCCTCCAGGTTCGGGGGAGCGTAAGACCCGGGTTTGCCAGGACTCGGGTTCGCCATCGTTTTTTGACGATCGCGACTCGGATTTTGACGAGTAGGAGTTTCGTGGGATGTCTGCAGCGGGAGGCCTCGTCAAAATGCAGGCTCGGCCTCGTCATTTTTTTGACGACCTCGTCGGGGATTTCCGAGTCCCCTGTACCCGGGTCTTACGCCCCCCTGAAAGGTCACGGACCTGCGCCAGTCGCCCTTCGTGAAGGCGATCTTGTCCCCGGGCTGCGACGGCACGGTGGCGCTGCTGGACCAGCTCGGAGGAGGGCCAGCACGACCTCTCGGGCCTCCTCCTCCTCCTCCTCCTCCTCCTCCTCCTCCTCCTCCTCCTCCTCCTCCTCCTCTCCTCCTCCTCCTCCTCCTCCTCCTCCTCATCCCTCCCTCTCCTCCTCCTCCCCTCCTCCTCCTCCTCCTCCTCCTCCTCCTCCTCCTCCTCCTCCTCCTCCTCCCCCCCCCTCCCCTCCTCCTTATGAACCTCCTCATCCCTCCTCCTCCTCCTCCTCCTCCTCCTCCTCCTCCTCCTGCGATCGCAGACATGGATCAAGGGGGCGCGGATTAGCGACGGGTCGTCCCGTTTCCATGGGGAATCGCGGACGCCCGCCGCCGAGCGAGGCGGCACCGGCCGCATTCCGGGGAGGGCACCTCCCCTGATCCATGGATCCGGTGACCGCGTGCCAAGTCCATGGATCGCTGATTCGTATTCGTGGGCCCCCGAGTTTTTCGACGCGGATGCAGCCGTGGCGACGACAATTTTCCGGGAGGCCCCAAAAAGGAACGAACATGCCCCAGGGAGAGCGCCGCCGTGGTCTCGTCTGGCCCCCCTCCGATCGGCACGTTACCACGTTCACGCGCGTGTGGTGCGTCCTGGAGAACTTCGTCAGCACCACCTGGGCGCGGGAGGGGGGCGAGGCCCAGCTTGAGGGGGGAAACGCGCTGACCAGGACCAAGATGGTCGTCGCTTTCTTATTCACTGTTTTGCCGATCGGCATGGGCCCTCGCCCCACCCCACCCATGGAGCAGATGTTGGCTGTTTGGGGCGCCTGCTTCGAGCAGGTGGAGTCTCCCCCATGGAACGCACTGCTGCAAACGCGGATTCACAAATGTGAAGCGTATTTAGTGTCTCTGCCCCCTCCCTCCGTACTTGCATGCATCCGTCTCACTTCCCCCTCTGCTCCCTTGTCTTCTCCGCAGCCTTTTGGGTCACAGGGGTGTGACCTCGTGTGCGCGATTTGGCCAATGAAGAAGAGAACGCGTAGGAGGAGGATGAGGAGCAGGAGCTAACAGTCGCACTAAGCAGAGGTCTGGAGCAAGACTCCCCCCTTCCCCCCCTTGCCGCTCAATGTCGAAACGCCGAATCAGAAAACTTTCATGTGTCGCGAGATCTTATCGTCGCCGATATTGCTCACGGGTCCACACAATGCCGACAAGCACCGATGCACGCGAGGACTATCCACGAAACCACCGGGACGAAGACAGGACGGTGACCAAGATCGACACCGACGTTCCCGCGTTCAAACTTGGTCATCGTCACCGGTTTCTTTCCCTCCGCCCTCTGTACGACTTGGCCGCCTGGCTCCCAGAGGGGGGCAAGTACGGTGGCAAGCCAGTGCCGGCCAAGCCCACGCTGCGCATCTCGGTGGTTCAAAGATGGGGCTCCGAGGGATGGGGCCCCTCGGGACGAGTGGCCTCATATACAGTGAAGGTTCAGCTCAGGCCCCCTTTCCTTCGAAGAAGAAAAAACGGTATAAACATCAACTTTCGGCGCTCCGCGCGGGTTTCTTGGCTCTGCGCTGGACCCCCCCTCCCTGGCGCGCGGAGCGCGCCAGGGATGGCGCCGGAGGCGCCGCCGGGGGGGGGCCCAGCGCGGATCCAAGAAAGCCGCGCGGAGCGCCAGAAGTTCCTTCGTTCTGCTTCAACTCCTGCCCTTTTGGAGCCCCGTCCCGCGGGGCTCCATCTCTGGACCGCCGACGCATGGACCTGGGCGACGGGAGGGTGGACGAGCGCGTGCAGGACGAGGCCACGGGAGGAGCGTTCCCCCTCATGGTGGCGGCCCGGGGCGTCCACATCTCGGAGGAGGGCCAGCGGAGGCCCTGTGGCGGCGCTCTCCCCGCTGCTTGTCATTCTCGGTGGGCCTCTCTGTCGGGTGCTCCGTCTCTGGGAGCCCTCCTGGGGCCCAGACCTGACGGTCAGAGTAGGACAAGATGCCCATACCTCTACCCTTCGCTCGTTTTCTGTTTTTTTTCGGCCTCCTGGGAGGCCCTCGTCGCCACCGCTGGATTCGCCTCGAAATCCTGGTCAGAACGCACACCGGGAGAGGTCTGGGGAGTAGCGGTATCGGTACCTATTGCTTTCCCCAGACGGATCTGTTCGACGCCAGTTCGACCCCAGTTCGGCTCAAATTCGACTTAAGTTCGTCTACCCGCATCGTAAGGATGGGCAGCCTTCCCAAGGGTGCCGTTGCATCCTTGCCTCCTCGGTCCATCCTTGGCCATTTTCGCTGGCCGCGCCCCGCTCGAAAAGCTAAGACATGGGCGTCCAAGGCCCCTGCATGCTTATCGCGCACCCTTACGATACGGGCTGACGGTAGTCCAAGCGGAGATCCAGCCGTGGCGACGAGGCGCCCCCAGGAACCCAGCAAATTCGACACGCCGCAGTCGGACGGGGCTGGGACGAGGACACATCCAGCCCAGAGCTTTACAGGACGCTCCCAGAGCGTTCTCGAACGCCCTGAGCGATGTGCACCAGCATCTCCCAATTAGAGCGCGAGGGCTGAATCAATGATACTGGTGCGTGTTAGCGCACGTCGGACGTGGCTAGGACGAGGATGAACCCGATCCAGAGCGTTCCAGAACGCTCTCAGAGCGTTCCCGACCGCTCTGAGAAGGCCGCGGCGCCCGATACATCATCCAGAGCCGCCGGATCGCAGAGGTTCTCGATTTATCCCCGCCCGGCTGTATCCCCGTCCTGGCTTCGTCTTACGCCGCCGTCTCGAGTTGGGCCCCCCTCCGACGCATCGACCTCTCCAAGGCCAAGGCGACGCAGCCGGCCGACCGCCTGCAGATCCTGCTCAGGGCCCCCCTAAGCGGGGACTGATGAACCAGGTCATTGGCGCGCCCGAGATCAGGAGGGGAGAGACACACACACACACATACACACACACATACACACATACACACACACACACGCACGCACGCACGCACGCACGCACGCACGCACGCACGCACGCACGCACGCACGCACGCACGCACGCACGCACGCACACACGCACACACACACACACACACACAAACACACACACATACACACACACACGGACACAGACGCAATGAATCGTCGATTTCCCAGACAAGATAGGGACATATGCGAAGTGGGGGGGGAAGACGAACGCCCAACACACATGGAAACACATGGATCCTGGGATTTGTGTGTGCATGTATGTTTGTGTAGCAGGGCCCCTGTACGAGAGCACTGCAGCCGTGGGTGGGAGCAGTCTCCCCCTGCTCGGTATAGGAGGAGGAAAAGGTACCCATCCCGTTGCGCGTCCCTGTTTTTTGTCCCCTGCTCGGGCCTCTGGGGACCAAGCAGTGGCGAAGCGTCCCAGCTCGCTGATAAGCCCACCAAATGATATGCTCTCAGAACCTTCTGTGGTCCGCACGCAATGTGAGACATCTTGGGATATCTTGAGCCATCTTCCGGGTCATCTTGGGCTCTTGAAGTCATCTTAACCAGTGCCCCGCCAAAAAACAACATGTGGCTAAAACCTTAGTACAATCAATGATTTCTCGCCGAGGCCTCTTGCAGCATCTTGGGTGCCTCTGGGGGGTCTTTGGGGGCCTCTTGGGGGTCTCTTGGGAGTTTCTTGGGGGCATCCTGGGGGCCTCTTGGGGCTTCCTGGCAACCTCTTGGGGCCCTCTTGGGGCACCCTTGGGAGCCTTTGGGGCCATCTTTGGGCCATCTTGGGTGAGATCGACCACAGGAGGGGGGGTGTCTAATTACAGTCCCCCCTTCAGGAGGCCAACATGGGGCCAAAACCATAGTAAAACCAATGATTGTGGCTTCCTCGCCGAGGCCGTTTTGGACGCTCCGACACCTCGCGGAACCCCCTGTCCAGGTCCGTAGGGGGAGGCGTAGACCCTTCCCCGAAGGGGAGGAAGGAGGGGTGGAGGAGGAAATTCCCCAAAAGTCCTGGCTCACAGCGCCTTGGCTCAAGGGGGGCCCTGGCCTGCACTGCATCGCGGGCACGGACCCCGCGGAGCAGAGCGGCCCCCCGCCCGAGGCCTGCGGGGCGTACGACGCGGTGAACGCCAACGCCCAGAGGTCCTTCGCGCCCGGGGCGATGCAGGGCGCGGCTCCCCGCCACGAACCGAGCCAGACCCCTTCGAGCAATGACACACTTCACGACGGGAGGGTCCTCGCGTCTCTCTCGGAAAATCCGAGAGCCCCCTCGCGGGCTTCGGGGCCGTCAAGGAACGGGTCGGACTGGAAAGCCGGTCTTGGGGAGCGGGTCGAGGCTTCCGGGGACCGCGCACTGAAAGAATCACGACGTCGGATCTCTGGGAGGGAGACGGGTCCTGTGGCCAGTAGTGGCGAAGCGTCCCGGCTCGCCTGCGGGCCCCCACCGAAGAGTGCTCCGAGAATGGTTGCTTGTGGTCTGCACGACGGCATGTGCTTCGAACATTCCCGGCCGAGACGGTCTTGTTGTAGCACATCGGGTTCAGTCTGGTTGACCCAAGAGAGGGTCAAGCGAAAAGGGGGAAATGCAATAGATGTGGTGCAATTTATTCGTTGGGTTGCAATAGATTTGTTGGGGTGTGCAAGACATTCCGGTACGCAGATGTATTGTTGGGATTTCGCTTGCAATGCATTAATTGCAATGGCGCAATACATTTGCAAGGCAGTTGCCCCAAACCTAATTGCACCATCCACTTGCAACTGGATCCTTTTTTGGGCCAACCGATCGATCAGAGAACATTGTTTTTGTTACCCGAACACTCTAGGGTTCTAAGAAGATGTCCTGATAGGCCCTGTAGGAATGCCGGGCCGGTCGGTCCCTGCTCCACCTCAAGTTTTTGTCGGGCCCTCCAGGGCCTCCACGGGCACCCCAGGGCTTTCCACAAAGAAAGCCTCGGCGTGGAGTACATGACGCGTCCGTGGGGCGAGAGTACCGGCTTCCATCGAAGGACAGAAACCGTGCGAATTTTTTGGATTGGGGTTCGGGCATTGGAGGGGCCTGGCCGGGATTGGTCCCTCAAGTTGAAGAAGAAGAAGAAGAAGAAACGCCATGAACATAAACTTTTGGCATTCCGCGTGGACTTCTTGGATCCGCTCTGGGGCCCCGCTGGCGGCGCCTCTGGCGCCGCCCCTGGCGCGCTACGCGCGACAGGGAGGGGGGTCCAGCACGGATCCAAGAAATCCGCGCGGACTGGCGAAAGTTTATGATTATGCCGTTTGTTGTCCCTCTATTCCAAGGCCCGTCTTCCTGGGCGGAGGGGGAGGTACCGATACACCGCTCTCATTGCCGCGGTTTCGCTTGTTGTTGGCCTCCTGGGAGGCCCTCGTCGCCGCGGCTGGATTCGCCTTGCAAGTCCAGTCAGAACGCACCCCAGGAGAGGTCCAGAGAGTAGCAGTATGCGTCTCCCTGCTTGGCTTGCCAAGTTGATCCGAGAGGGTATTCGTGTTTTTGTTACAGCCGGACCGATGTATAAGATCAAGGTCGGTTCGAGGAGGGTACCCTAGTACTATTCGTGTTTGTTGGATGCTCTTGCGCATCTTTGGGGCGATGCCCTTGGATGTTCTGTTTGTTTTGGCCGGCGGGGGGTCTCATGTTCTCGCGGGATGTTCTTCTGGCCTGGGTCCGACCGTAACAACCATTGCTGCTTCATGCAACCTTCCTGACGCAGCGGCCATCCAGCCAGTGTCGGTGTAACGCAACAGTAATGGACTTGCTGTGCCTTGATGTCCGCAGGCTCTGCGCGGGGACGCCACGGAGCTCCGGGAGCTGCTCGGGAGATTTCCCGACAGCAAGGACGACGGGATCAGCGACGGGGCCACGCCGCTGCACGCGGCGGCCTGGAAGGGCCACGCGGAGGTGATCGGGCTGCTGCTGGAATCTGGCGCGAGCCCGAACTCCCGCAAGGACGATGGCGCCACCCCGATCTTCCAGCCCGCCCATGGAGCAGTGCCAATTGGGGGTCGAGGGAGGTCACCAGTTCTCAGAGGAGGACAAGGTACCCATACCGCTACCCTTCGGCCCTTTCCCACTTTTTCGGCCTCCTGGGAGGCCCTCGTCGCCACCGCTGGATTCGAACTTCGAAGTCCTGGTCGGAACGCACCCAGGGAGAGGTCCAGGGAGTAGCGGTATCGGTACCTTTTTGGTTTCCCCAAGTTCCTCCTGGAAATACAGGTTCCTGGAATTCAGGTTCGATGAGGTTTTTGGACGTTCGGGGCAGTCTTGGACAGCCGGGGAGTCCTCGGGGAGGCATCTTCAGGAACCGGCAGTTCTCCGAGGAAGTGGCGGCCCCTCCGAGGGTGACCCCCCCCTGGCAGTGCCCCGGCCCGGATGGGGAGTGTGGGGACCTGCGAGGTGCTCCTCCGGGCCAGGGCCGACGCGAACCTGTGCCGCGGGGACGGGGTCTCTCCGCTGCTCATGGCCGCGCAGCAGGGCCACCTGAAGGTGGTCGACTGCCTGCTCCGCGGGGGGGCGGACCCGAACCTCCAGAGCAAGAGCGGCAGCACGCCGCTGCGCGCCGCAGCCAAGCATCAGGGCATGAACATGGCATCGCTCGGACGTGTGCATTTTTCCTCGGTGGGGACCATCGACGAGCATCCTTGATCATTTGGCGAAAAAGCCACGCACGAATCCGAACAAAAACACGGGGAATGGACGTCCGAGCGATGGCGAGTAAAAGAACCCCGAACCCTAAAAACACAGTGGAGGCGTGGCCTCACCGAGGTCCCCGTTTCTGGGCACTGGGCAGGGATGCTGCATCTGGGCGGTCCGGCTCGATACGTCTGCAGCAGAGACCCTCTATCCCTCATGCTTTCCCTCCGAACTTGGGTCCCCTCCCTCCAGGGAGGAAAAGCCACCCGGACCGGACCGTTGGCGTTCACGGAGCGACCCTGTGCGTTTACGGAACAGCCCTGCCCTTCTCGCTTCGTGGTGTGGGCGCGTCTGCCAACCGGCTTTGCTCGTCGGGGTGATTGTTATGGGGGTGGATTTTCTGCCCTCTACTCCCAACGGCTTGGGGGTCCTCTTCTGGTTCCTCAAGGCACGCGGCGGTCAAGCGGGCGCTGCGGGAGGCCGGTGCGGCGGAGCCTGAGGCCGAGGCCCGACGGGTCTGTTTTCCACCACCACCACCACCAGAAGTTGGAGGGGGGAAGGAGGTGGAGGAGGAGGAGGTGGAGGAGGAGGAGGAGGAGGAGGAGGGAGGAGGAGGACGAGGAGGAGGAGGAGGAGGAGGAGGAGGAGGAGAAAGAGAGAGGAGGAGGAGGAGGAGAGGAGGAGGAGGAGGAGGGGAGGGGGAGGAGGAGGGGAGGAGGAGGAGGAGGAGGAGGAGGAGGAGGAGAGAGGAGGAGGAGGAGGAGGAGGAGGAGGAGGAGGAGGAGGAGGAGGAGGAGGAGGGGGACCCCCTCCCCTCCAAGTTGTGGTGGTGGTGGCAGAGGCCGGGCCCCGGCGCGGCGGCGAGCCCGGGGGGGGCCGCAGGGGGCCACCGCACCCCGCGCCGGCGCCCTTCGGCGGGCTGATGGCGGGGAGCGCTCGCCATGGGGGAGGCGGGTCACGATGAGTCCAGATTTCTTAATAAAAGGGAGGGGGGTCTCATTTCGTGGGGGGGTCTCTTCCAGGCCATCTTGGAGGGCCTGGGGGGGTCTGGGGACGATGTTTTGGAGGGTTCTCCCACGGGGGGGGTCTGAAGTGGCTTGTCTTGTCGGGCCGGGCGAAAGGGGGGGATTGGGAAAGGGGGGGTTTACGAAATTTGCTGCATGCAGCTGGTTTCGGCCTCACCGAGGGGCCCATTCCTCGATACATGGCCGCCTCTGGCGCCGGGAGGCGCTGGGAAAATCAGCTACGTGAGCTGATTCTCACCCCCCCCCCCTTTGCTATCCCCCCCTTTCGCCCGACCCGAGTCACGATTACGGAAGGTTCGCGCCGTGTCGACCAGCGGCGACCCCAGCGCGGGCGTTCAAGGTTGAACGCCGCCCGTGGCCCAGAGTCGGGCGATGCTCAGCGATCGGACGTTTCGAAAAGTGCCGATCGTTCAAGGTTGAACGATCCCCGCGGTGTCAGGAACCAACGCCGGGGTCGACACGACACGAACCAGCCGTAGTCTGGTGACGATGTTTCTGATGTTTGGTTGTTTTTGTTTGGCAATTTTCTTTTGTTTCGACTTTTTTACTTTTCGTGCAACGTCTGCCTGTAGGAGGAGGACACGCCCGACCTAAAGGTGCACCAGGCGATTGCAGACATGGATCAAGTGGGCGTGGTTTGGCGACGGGTCCCGTTTCCAGGGGGGATCGCGGATTTCCGCCGCTGAGCGAGGCGGCACGGGCCGCATTTTGGAGAGGGCACCTCCCCCGATCCATGTCTGCTTGCTCCCAAATACAGTGGGGGCCCATGCCAAGACACACCCTGCTTGCCTCCAGGGTGCCCTTGGTTTCTTCGATTTCGTTGGTTTTGCGATGGGAGGCGCGAGGTTCACACACGCACACACACACACACACCAGAAAGCAATGGACGTCCTGGGGTCTCAGGGTTGGGTTCCTGGTGAGAGGTTCCTTGTGGACTGGCCTCCACTGTATTCACATGCGCCCATCCTGGCCAGGCTTAAGTCGGGCGTGTCCTTCTAGAGGAGGAATCTTCGAAAAGAATAACAAGAAAATCTTGGGTCCATTTTGCTACTACTGTTGGACATTTTGGGAGCATGTTTTTTTGTACATTGTCTTTTATTTTTCTGCCAAAGCCCGCCCGTGGGGGGGCATGCCCGACCTCAGGCCAGGCCCCTCCTGGGCCAAGGTTCGGTGCACATGCCTCCCCATGCTGGGCCTGGGAGGGCGGTCGCACCGGTGCCTGAGCCCAGGAGGGGCCTGGCCACGAGGCGGGCCCTTAAAGCGAAGAAGAATAATCAAAACATAACACCATGATCGCAAACTTTTTGGCGAAGAAGGAGAATCTAGGCGGGTCCGTGTAGACGGGGTCGAAGGATCGCGCCGCATCGCCGATGCATCCAAGATGCGGCTCGATGTGGAGCCCTGTGTCTGCCCCACGCCGACGTCACCGATGCATCGCCGACATCGCCGATGCGTCACCGATGCATCGCCGACACATCGGCGATGCATTGGCGACGCGGCGCGATCTTTCGACCTCATCTACTCGGATCCCATCTAGGAGGCCTCTAAAGAAACGCCATGAACCTAAACGAAAAAGAAGAAGAAGAAGAAGAAGAAACGCCATGGGAGGCGGGCCCTCAAGTCGAATAATAACAATATGCCATGAACAGAAGCTTTTGGCGCTCCGCGCGGGTTTCCGATCGTAGAACAGGAAACGGCGTAAACATACATTTTCGGAGGTCTGTGCGAATTTCTTGGATTGGCGTTAGTGCCCAGGATGGGCCTGGCCAAGAGGCGGGTGAAGACACGCCGTGAACACAAACTGTTTGGCGCTCCGCGCGTGTTCCTTGGATCCGCGCTATGGGCCCCGTGGCGGCGCCTCCGGCGCCGCCACTGGCGCGCTCCGCGCGCCAGGGAGGGCTGCCCAGCGCGAATCCAATAAATCCGGGCCGACCTCCGAAAGTCTATGTTTATGGCGTTTTTCTTCCTCCACCAAGGACGTGCACGGTTCGGTCGGTTCGGTTGCGTCGCAGTCCGTTGCGTTCGGTCGATTCGCTTCGGTCGGTCGTGGTGTCGTTGCAGCGTCGCTGCGCCCTTGCAGGCTGCTTGCGGCCCGCCGATTTCGGTACGTTTCTGTTCCGCTGCCGCCTCGGTCGGTTTTCGGTTTGGCTGTCGCCGTGCACGGCCCTGTTCCTGAGGGGAACGGATCTTGGATTTTTGGGGGGCAGTTTTTCTGGCTCCCAGGGCCCTTCACGGGCCCTGCGGAGCGTCAGGACACACGTGTTCGGGGGAAGAGCTCATCCTCGGGGAAGGTCCCTGGGTCCAGGACCCGTTCCCCTCCGGTCAATATCGTTCATCGGAGGTGGACAGACCTCCTACCCTGACACGTCGATTAAGGAATTGGACGTTTTCGGTTCGCGAGAGGGCGTCGCGGCCGTCATTTTTGAATTCCAGGTCCGTCGGTTTCGGTCCCAGGCCGTTTTCACGAAGGGGAGGTTTACTAAAGGAAGGTTTGTCCACCGCCGAGTTCAACCGATCCCTATCCCCATCCCCATCCACATCTCTAGCCCCACCGTCTCACCACTTCAGTTGGGGATATGCCCCTCGAAGCCCGAAGAGAGCAGCCTATATCCACATCTAGGGGGGCAACTCGGCCAGTGGGGCCCAGCCCACGCTTGTGGGGATGGGGATCGATTAAACGATGCTCATCAGGACCCGCTTCCTCCATGCTAAACAGTGACTCGAACATCAACTTTGGAAGTGCGCGCGGATTCCTCGGATCGGCACGGAAGCGCCCTGGCGGCGCCCCCTGAGCCGCTCCTGGCGCGCCCCGCGCGCCAGGGAGTGGAGTCCAGTGCCGATCCAGGAAATAAGCGCGGACCTCCGAAAGTTGATGCTGATGTCGTTGTTTGTTCCCCGATGGTGGCGGAGTTCGAGGCGAATCAGGCGGGCCGGCCCGGCCGCAACCCAGCGGCCGTTGCCGGAATGCTGGCGGAGCTGGAGGCTTGGCGGGCGAAGAAGGGTTCGAGTGTGGGATCGGCTACAGAATTGTTTTTCCCCACTATTGCATGTCGCGTCGAAGCTACAAGCAGTACGCTTGCACGAATGCGGCGAACAATCCATTGGGGGATACAGTAACATCCGCATTGTTAGGATGAACAGCTTTCCAAGGCTACCCCTGCATCCTTCCCCGTCGGCCCCTCGACATGGCCTTCCGATGACCCTGCCTCTTTATCGTGCGTCCTCAACATGCGGGTTGGCTGCAAATCAGTTATGTAGTCGATCCCCGAATGGCCCCGAAGGGTTTTGAGCGCTGAAGAAGGAACCCTTTTCGTTGGGGATGGGCTCCGTGTTCCTTGCTTGTTTCACAGTTTTCCTTAGGTTTTCGATGGGAAGTCGAAGTTTAACTTCTGGAGAAAAGGGGCCTCGTTCCTTATTTTGGGTTCCTTAGGTCAACGCCCCGACGGTAAACTTCTCAGAGGGCGCGAGGGCTTCTCAGAAGTCCCGCCGTCTTCTGAGAAGCCTCCTCCTCCTCAGTTTCCCCCCCTCGCTCGCCGCCGATCCTGGGATGCCACTCCTGAGAGGTCAGTCCTTCGGGGGGTGGACAGACCTCCTTCCCTGACGCGTCGATTAAGGAATTGACCGTTTTCGGTTCGCGAGAGGTCGCCGCGGCCGTCATTTTTGCGGGTCCAGGTCCGTCGGTTTCGGTCCCAGGCCGTTTTCACTAAGGGGAGGTTGACTAAAGGGAGGTTTGTCCACCGCCGAATCCTGAATAGGCGCTGGTACATCCTTGATCGAGAACCGGCTCAGCCCGGCTTCGACCCGGCTGAATCCTGGGCTTGATCCGGCTCGGTCTGGCTCAGTGGTCCTCTGATCGGGTTTCATCAGGCAGGCCTTGAATCGAGACAAATCGATCCATAGCGTTCTGGAACGCTCTCAGAGCGTTCCAGAACACCCTGAAATGACCGCGGCATTCGATGCATCCTCCAGACCCGCCGATCTCAGAGATTCCGATTGGGGAGGGTACCCTTGGATGCTCCGTATGTTTTGGCCGGCTGAGGGTCTCATGTGCTTGAGGGATGTTTTTCTGGCCTGGGTCCGATTGTAGCCCTGAATTGTTCGGATGCAACTCCTGGGAGGTCAAATTCTGATTTTGCCTCGTCCGAAATCCAGTTTGATTCGGCTCAATCCCGCTCAATCCGGCTTCATCCCGTTCGATCCCGCTTGATCCGGCTTCATCCCGCGTCATCCGCGGCCCCCTCCAGCGCAGCAGCCTTCCAATATGGGGCTCAATCCTCCCTGATCCTTCCGACGAAGACCTCCCAGTAGTTGCCTCCTAAGGCTTCGTGGGCCCTGGAAACCGCAGGCCCGTTTTTTGTTACCGGTTCCGTTTTGCCGTTGTTTTGCCGGTTCCGACGCCGTTTTTGTTACCGGTTCCGTCGCCGTTGTTTGACCGGTTCCAGCTCCGGTTCTAATCATGGAGCCGTTTTTTGCCGTTTCAGGTCGCCGTTGTTTTGCCGTTTCCATTTGCAAGGGACATTTTTGCAGGAAATTGTGAAAAAAAACGGCCCTGCCGTTTCCGGGGCCCACAAAGTCTTAAGGATTGCTCTGACGAAGAGCTGCTCCTCTGCACGAACGAAATGGGCACGGAAAGAATGGGCACAATGCCCAACAGCAGTTTCTGTTCATTTTGAACAGGACTCGCTGTCCACGCCGCCGCGGCCTGTGTCTATTTGAGACAGAAGGCCGCCTGCCCAACAGTGGCCGCTGTCGGTTTGGGACAGCATTTGTTGTTGGGCATTGTACCCATTCTTTCCGTGCCCGTTTTGCCGTTGTTTTTTTGTTGTTTCCATTTGCCGTTTCCATTTGCAAGGGACATTTTCATTGGAAACGGCGAAAAAAACGGCCCTGCCGCTTCCGGGGGCCAAAAAGTCCTAAGTATTGCTCTGTCGGGGGTGGACAGAACC